TAGGGAATGATGCCCTTGAGAGGAACCTCTGGCCGTGAACTACTTTTTCCATGGTGTAAAGTGGTAGGTAGGAGGCGAACTGCTGTGTAGAGTGGGGCTTGAGCCCACAGATTCAGGGGCCAGGGCGGTAAGATACACACAGTACTGATGTAACACATTGAGGGTTTCCATGGATCTCAGGCGTGGAGTTGTTAGCGCTGGGAAGGCCCTTATGACCCAGCATCATGGTTCCTAACCTGAGACGGGCGGAGGGGACTTGTGAGCCCTGTGGGCAGACAATCAGGTGGCTGTTCTCAGTGGCCCAGAAGAGATCAGGAATCATCCAGGTAGACGGGGTTTGCAGTCAGGTTGGTGTCCCATTCCTGGCAAACACCTTGGGGAAGCCTCGTCACTCTCTGGTTTTTGGTTTCCACCTCATTATTTTGCTATTATGATGTTCAGATAAGACACAGGATAGGAAAGCCTTTCCAGAGCAGTAACTACATGCTGGTGGCATTGGTAGCTACTCTGTCCCAACTTTGAGCGGGCAGGTAGCAAGATTCCTTTTTCTGACAGTCATGCAGTGCAGTTTCGATTACCCTGTATCTGTTTCTACCCAGTTCTATTTAAAGGCATCCCCTGGTCTGGTGTTTTACGCTGGGCTTTGCCATAGTTCCCTGGTCCTTATTACATTCCCTGCCATTCTGTGGGTTTAGATGCCAGCTTTATAGGAAAGTTAAGATTCAGCTGAGCAAACCCAGGTCTTGTAAGTGTGAGGAGGAAGGTGCCCAGGAGTAGCTCTAGAGAAAGGAGAAGCTGGAGCTGTCAGTAGCCTCGTGTGTTCTCCACTGAGAAATGCTGACTTCTTAAGCTTTTAAGTCAATTGAATCGTATTCTCAATAAACAGCAGCATGATTTATGTGCCTGGGCCATAAACTTCCTTAGGCGATGATGTGGAAATTTGCTTTTCAAAGGATAAAGGAGGTATTCCAATGAGAACACTGTTGGAATAAGAATAAAATGTGTCTTTTAGCTTTAACCATTTGTTTTACAAGTGCATGAGTCTTAATCCTTCTTAGAGACCTGAAAGGACTGAGGCAAGGCGTGGTATTCCTGTTCACGGACAACGTGAAAGGTTATTCTCTTTTTCTTTGATTGTAGGACTGCCTCCATAAAGTCTCAACCTACCTTTTCCATAATGGCAGTTAAGGAGCAGGGAAGATTGGCAATGCTGTCGGTGTCCTGTGTACCAACTGTTCTTTACACGGATCTCACCGGGCTATTGTCTGAGTGCTTTCTGCACATAGGCCACAGTTTTCCTGGGTACAGCATGGACAAATCCGTTCAGTGAAGTTGGTTTTCAGCTTGGCTGAGTTAAACTGCTGTAGTTGGTCATTATCAGCCATTAAATAAAGGACTATGGCTGGATTTAAACCCTTAGCATTACAGAGTAGGGTCTAATAAAATGCTCTTACAGGGGACCTACTAAATCTGTAATTTTATGAAGTTTTTAAAAAAGTTTTCTTTCCTAGATTTACTAGACTTTCCTAGTAGAATGCAATCTATAGCTTGACTACTGCTGTTGCTTAAAATAGGTAAATTAATCACCCGTGTGACTGTATTTGTTTACAGAGAGCTGTTTGGTATTCACAGTCGGGGGTGTAATGCCGTTGAACATGCCCTGTCAATTCACACAGTCGAGGCTTCACAGGAATTACTTCAGGGACTCGAGGGAGAGAAGACAGAAGGGCACAGTGTGTGTGTAAAGGTGGGGGACCCTGATCAGACTCGGAGTGCTGCAGGGAAATGAAGACAGCTGACTGGGGGGACTTGAGGGCACAGCAGGCTTGCAGAGCGTTCTGTTTGCAGTCGCTTCGCATCTGCAGAGTTGTGGTGCTGTGTGGGATCTGACAGCTTGGCACCAGTAGGACCTAGACTTGATTGGGCTGCTTAGCCTTCACGTCTTGGCACAAGTGTCCCTTCCTCAGAAAGGCCTTGCAGACTTGTTTGCTCAATTCATTTCTTCCCCATGGTCAGTGCATCGACAGCCTGGACAGATCATCAGCACCGTCTTCCCACAGGGCCTGGCACGTACTAGGTGCTCAGCTAGGCGAAGGGCTGCAGGTCGCTCACGGCTTGTGGATTCCTCTAGAATAAATCTGCTGTGAGTGTGCTCTCGGTAGTCTGTTTCTTTCTTGGTCTGTCTGAAGTTGGTTAGCCATATCACCCAACATCCGATCCTTCGCTTCAGCGGTTTTATAAAAAAATATGCCTATTGTGTCATCTTGGGAAGCCAAACAGAAAGAAAACAGTGTCTGTTTTCAGAACTGGAACTGGCAGCAAGACTCACTGATGCCCGTCCCTGCCCATGGGTGGAGCAGTGGGGTGACTCTGCTCCCAGCTGCTCATTGGCCCATCCTCCACCCTCGTTCTCCTGGGAAGTCCAGGATGGATTTTGTCTGCTAGTTACCTTTAGCCCAGTGGGCAGCAGCGTGGGACTCGGCATGTGACTAATGCCCTGAGCGACCTTGGCAGGCTGGGTGAGCACCGGCTGAGCTCCTGGAGCCCCCACCACACCCCCACATCGCCGCCCTTTTCTGTCCCTGCAGTAGTGTGTCACCTAGCAGTCAGCTGTTGGTGGCCTGGATGGTGAGTGGTTTTGTGAGTGTCGGTGCTTTCTCTCCAGAGTTATGACCCGAAGACAATTTGCTTATCTGTTCTTTCTTTGTTGTCAGGTTAAACCTCAACATTTCTTGAGTGTGTGAGTGTGTGAGTGTGTGTGTATACACACTTACACAGAGTGGCTGCAGCATGAGACCGAATGACCTGAGCAAATGCATTGAGTCCTGTCATTCTGATGGCCGGGAACAACAGCACGATATTCTGCTACTCTGGGGGGAAAAATGATAGAACAGATTTAAGCTAAAACAGAATATTTCCATGTTTGAAAGTAGAAAAATATTTTTAGTCTTGTGACCTTGCTCTTAAAGAGAATATATAGTAAGTAGCTTATGAATACTATCAAAACTTAAACTTTTAACAGTTTAATGTTGACACTTGTTGCTTTGCCAGATTTTTAAGAAAAGTCTTTCAGACCGTTTACTATTATTTGCTTCCCTTTGCTGCCAAATCTTAAAGCAGTTACTCGTCAGTAATTCTCTAAGTAGAATCGATTCTGTTTTATTATCTGTATTGCACGTTTACTTTTTATACTTTTGGTAACTTGTCTGTTACATTCAGTTTGAGGGTTGGTATCATATATCAGGCTATTCATCTAATTTTCTTTTGTGTGTTTTGGCTTCAGAATTTTGTCTCTAAACTCCTCGTAGGCAAGTTTCTTTTTATCACCTGTGCACCTCACTGTCCTACACTCAGAGCTTACTCTTCTCACTAATCCTGAGCACTGAGAGAGGAAAGAGTAATAATACCCAATGTTTATTAAGCACTCTGGTGTGTCCTAAGCTCTGTTTGTGGCTCATTCAGTAGTCGTAGAAGTCCTACGAGACAGGTACTATTTTCATCTTTATTTCTAAATGAGGAAACTGAGGCACAGAGAGGTGAAGTCATTTGTTGTAGATTATATGCAGCTAATTAGCTGAGAAGGCCAGATTTGGGCTCTAGAATCTTAATTACTATTCTATCCTTTCTCTCAAATAATATGCTCCAATCTCTCTCTAGGTATTAGTAATTGGCTTAAAGTTTATGCATACCAGCTTATGTATTTGCTTATTTATTTTAGCTATGCATCTTGGGGCCTATTAAAGAAAGCAATCTCATCAGAAGAGCCGCCGGCAGGTCTCCCGGCATTTGTTGTATGTTGCCCCTTGTGTGGTGTGAATGTGTAGGGAGGGGAGAGACGTGCGGAAATTGAGCTTGGTCTGCTTTTCTACTTGGGGAACTTGTTCTGAGCTGTAGAGACTGATGGCCCTTAGGTGGTTTGGGCCTGTGTGTTTCTCCTCACTTTATCCCATTAGCCTTGATAAGGAGAGCTAGGTGCATTTGATTAGGTAGAAGAGAAGAGCATTCTATCAGGGAAGAAAATAGAAACTTACACCACTTATTTACTTTTATGGCAAGAATTCTTCATGAGTAAATTCTTTTTAGTGTAGTTAAAGAAAGCAAGTTTGTTTTTTTGGGTTTTTTTGTTTTGTTTTGTTTTGTTTTTCACAAGATAATGAAGAAATAGAATGAGGTGACCATGGTTCGAGTCCCAGACCCGGCATCTTTCTTTCTTGCTTTTTTTTTTTGAGAGATTTTTGCTATAGGGGGTGTGTGCTTGCCCGACAGACAGAGAGAGACAGAGAGACAGAAAGGGAGAAATCACCCCTCAGGGGGGATGGCCACACCGCAACCCCTTCTCCTCCATTCTCCTCTCGGGATCTTGGGCACGCACACACATGCGCCCGGCATGAGTTTAAACCACCGGGTTTGGGACTCGAACCGTGGTTGACTACGTGGGAGTCCAGCGACATAGCCATTATGCTAACTGCTGGTCCCAGCATCTTGCTTTCTTATTCTCTCTCTCTGTCTCCAGTCTGATTAATAATAATAATAAAATTTAATAAATATTTCTTTAAAAAAAAGAAATAGAATGAAAATGAATTCTTTTTTTTTTTTTAAGAGAGATTTTTGCTCTAGGGCACATGCACTTGCCAGAGACAGAAAGCGAGAAGTCACCACCCAGAGAGGATGGCCATGCCACAATTCTTTCTCCTCCATTCTTTTCTCAGGATCTTGAGCATGCATGCACACACACCTAGCTGGATCTGGGACTCAGTTGACCTCATGGAAGTCCAGCAACATAACCATTATGCCATCTGCTGGTCCCCTGAAAATGTATTCTTAGAAGTGCTTTTAGAAAGATGAAATTGGACAGCCAAGGAAAGACCCGAGCCATTATACTGTGGGGTTAAGTTGGTCTTGCTTGGTCAACCAGCCATCAAGTTAGATGGTTGGCCATTTGGAATTCTGGAAAAATTCCTGCCTCCCTGGAATGTACATGATGTTTTTTCTTCTGACAGAATTCAGCCTAGAGAGCCATCAGCACAGAACAATGCAAGCCCACGAGCTGTTTCGGTATTTTCGAATGCCAGAGCTGGTTGACTTCCGACAGTACGTGCGCACTCTCCCGACCAACACGCTCATGGGCTTCGGAGCCTTCGCAGCGCTCACCACGTTCTGGTACGCCACGAGACCCAAGGCCCTGAAGCCAGCATGTGACCTGTCCATGCAGTCGATAGAAGTGGCGGTAAGTAGATGGCCCAGTTGCCTCCTGGGAGTTTCCATCTTTCCCCAGATGAATTAGGCCCCATTGAATATGATATTGATCAAGATCAAAATCACAATTGAAAATTTGTTTCCAAGGCCAGTTTGTACGCAGAAGTATGCTGGTCAAACAGAAGTCACTGGTGACAGTAAACAGAGGTGACAGCTAGAATGTAGGGCAGAGGGGCAAACAAGGTGCTTGGTATAGACTGATTGTCTACTAACAGGCACACAGAAGAGCACTGCAGAAATCACATGGCGCTTCTACTCCGTGCTAGGTCTAGGGTGGGCCCTGAGGGTTCCACAAGGGGAAAAAGACAGTAGAGTCCCTGTCCTCAAAAGGGTTATATTCTAGTAGCTAAGGGAGTTGTCAAACACATCACAAAAAGAAGGATTTCATGGGACCAGCAGTTAGCATAATGGCTATGTCACTGGACTCCCATGTAGTTGACCGTGGTTCAAGTCCTGGAAACGGTGGCTTAAACTCATGCCGGGCGTGTGTGCGTGTGTGCCCAAGATCCCAAGAGGAGAATGAAGAAGGGATTGCGGTGTGGCCATTCACCCGGGGAGTGATTTCTGGCTTTCTGTCTCTCTGGCAAGCGCACGCGCCCTATAGCAAAAACCTCTCAAAAAAAAAAAAAAAGAGAGGAAGATTTCACTTGGGGTTTATCTGATGCTTAGAACAAATCCTCCTACTATTATTATTATTATTCCTGAATTTCAAATAAGGTAAGGCTACAGTAGGAACTTGCAAAAAATTGCATGGTTGCAGAATTTGGAATAAGATGTGAAGAAACGAGAGCATTCAAGAGGTGTGTAAGGTTGACTCGTTGCATGCCATGGTTATGTACAGCTGGGGCAAGCTAGAGTCACGCTCTCATACGACGCAAATAAGTCAGAACGTATGTAGTTCAGGGTGATTAGGTGGAGTGAGAGGGAAACTTGAAGATCCTTCCAGAAAAATTCTTTCTTAGTGTTCCTACTCTGCCTTCTTTCTCTTTTTAATCTCTTTTCAAAGTTAGTAAAAATTTAAAAAAAGAAAGAAATGTCAGGGGGCCGGCTCCGTAGTGCAGCAGTTAAGTGCTACACGAAGGAAGCTGAGTTCCAAATGGCCAACCTCAATTTGAGTCCCAGCTCTGATGGCTTGAAGAACAGGCCAACAGCATAGGTGCATGCCCCAAATCCTGATGGGATGAAGAATCAGAGGAAAAATGATTGCAGTATGACCAGGCCCCATTGGGGGTTGCATTCTTTCTCTGTCTCTTCTCTGTCTTTTTCTACCTCCTTTCCTCTCTCCCTCCTTCCCTCCTTCCTTCTCTTCTCTCTTTCCCACCCTCCCTCATGCACACACACCTTCTGTTTGTTTGGGTTTTTTTAGAGGTTTTTCCTTAGGGCATGTGACTCACCGGAGAGAGAGGGAGAGACAAATAGAGACAGTGAGAGGGAAAGTGAAAAATCAACCCCAGTGGGGATGGCCACACCACAGCCCCTTCTCCATTCTCCTCCCAGGATCTTGAGCACACACACCCATGTGCCTGGCATGAGTTTCAAGCCACCGGATCCAGGACTTGAACCGTGGTCACCCATGTGAGAGTCCAACGATGTAACTGCTATGCCATCTGCTGTTCCCTACCCTCTGGTGTTAAAAAATGTGAGGGGCTCAAAGATGCAGAAACAGGTCCTCAGTGGTACTTTGACTCTTCACCTACTCTTTGTTCTGTTGCTCGCTTCCCCTGTCTGCGTGGAATCAGATGTCAGTATTTGTTTCTTTAAGCATACACAGTGGAAGGATGTGAAACAGAATCACCTCATTTACCGCTTTTAGATGTGGAGGGGAAAGGCCTCCATCCTCCCTGGGGTGATTGCCACGGGTAGGATTCAATGCACCCTTCCAAATGAAACCCTGGCTTGACCATTAGCATTCTGTTATTTATGGAATTTTAAACCTTTGTTTTATTTTAGGCAGGTTCTTGGATTGAGTAATGTGAAACTCTAAAAATGTATAAAAAGATAGTCTAATCATGCCACAGTATAAAGATGTCAACAGCACGGCTGTGAACGACCACTGAGAACAGTTGGCTCTATTTAGAAGGTAAAGGCGGGCCCACTCAGTGGCACGGTGGGAATGAGTGCTCAGGCTGGCTCCATGTGGAGGACCGTGGGTTCAGTTCTTCTGGCCTCTGCACACTGGGTATGTGTGCCCATGATGCCGACTGCCTGGGCAGTGGGGAGGTCGTGGAGGGGGTGGGATATGGGGGGATAAGGGGCGTTGCAGCACAAGACCTGGTTGAGGGAATGTGCCTTTCTCCCACTCTGTCTCTCTCTCTCTCAGGAAATAAACTTTAAAAAAAAATGCAGCTTACCTGAGGATTGAGTAATGTGAAACTCTAAAAATGTATAAAAAGATAGTCTAATCATGCCACAGTATAAAGATGTCAACAGCACGGCTGTGAACGACCACTGAGAACAGTTGGCTCTATTTAGAAGGTAAAGGCGGGCCCACTCAGTGGCACGGTGGGAATGAGTGCTCAGGCTGGCTCCATGTGGAGGACCGTGGGTTCAGTTCTTCTGGCCTCTGCACACTGGGTATGTGTGCCCATGATGCCGACTGCCTGGGCAGTGGGGAGGTCGTGGAGGGGGTGGGATATGGGGGGATAAGGGGCGTTGCAGCACAAGACCTGGTTGAGGGAATGTGCCTTTCTCCCACTCTGTCTCTCTCTCTCTCAGGAAATAAACTTTAAAAAAAAATGCAGCTTACCTGAGGATTTGAGCTCAGCTGATCACATACCAATAATGAGTAGATTTTAACTTTATAAACTAGATCTGGGTGAGGCTTTGGCATCCCTTCTCTTCCAGCAGGACATCTGGGTATCGCAGCAGGGTTGCCATCACTGCAAAGAGTGAGTGGCAGGTGCAGAACTAAGACATTTTCATTTTGCAGTAGCTGTAAGACATGTCTAATATGGGAAATTGTGGGAGCGCTTACAATGTGGTTTTTAGGCTCCAGCTTAAAATATAGTCATTGCACCTCATTAAAGTAATTATACGTGTTCTCTGGATAAGCACAAGGAAAATGGAAATCTGTAATTCTCTCCTACCTGGCGTATTTGCTTTGTGATTTTTCCCTTTTCATATAGAAATAGCTCTAGCTCCGATTTTTGGAATTTGATGGTTTTGGGAATAGATTCTGAAGTTGCTTTTGCCTTTAAAAAAAAAAACTTAAAAATCTGAATTTAAAAATAGCTGTGGAGTTATGCTGCTCAGTAATTATAGATGCCTGGAGAGAGCTAGCACCATCATAGACTTCTGTGGCAGGGAAAGGCTTCATTCCGTTCAGAAAATGTTGGTGATGAGCCTGTGTGTCTGGCAGTGTTGTGGGGGCTCAGCGCCAGGGCAAAATATCGTTGCTTTGTTCCCACTTTGAAAAGAAGAAGCACCATCGCCAGTTCCCACTCTCACCGCCACCCTCTGCCACACACACACACATACACACACACACACGTCATTTTTATCACCTCTTTTTTCTATCAACTCTACACAAATATTTTTAAATTATTTTATTTCACTTTATTTATTTATTTATTCATTTGTTTATTTCAATTTGACCAGGGAGGGAGAGAGTGAGAGAGAGTGAGAGAGTGAGAGAGAGAGAGAGAGAGAGAGAAAGTGAGAAAGCAAGCCGCCAGGTCCAGGACTTGAACTGCAGTCAGCCATGTGGGAATCCAGCGCCTTTAACCACTATGCCACCTGCCAGCCCTATCAACGCTATGTGACTATTAATGAATCTATCCTTTTAATTTGGCCACTTATCATATCCCACAGTGGCTGTTTCCCAGCCAAGTCTTTTTTTTTTTTTAGCTTGTTCATTTCTTCTGTGAGAGAGTAGCAGAGAGGGACTGCACCCCCAACAGGGCCTTGGTGCCATGATCCCCCTAGCTGTCAGCCAACCTCAGATCGTGGGAAGAACGTACCCGGTGTACTCGCGGGGTCTCCAGACTTGAACCGTGAGTTTTCTCATGTGGGCGTGCCTCACAGAGTGTTACACTTTATCTCTGCACCACCACTGGGCCCCTCCCAGCTAGGTTTTGAAACAGGAGCACAGAGGTTCTTTATAAGTCAACACTGTAAAATTTTCCTCATAAAGTCAATATTGAACAGAGGCTGTTAGCATTCATGCCGTTGACCTGTACAAGAAGGGCAGTGAAGACCTGAACTGCAGGACGGGTCAGAGAGGCTGGTCTTAGAAAAGAATCCAAGTGAGTGTGGTTTGGTTGTGTCCCTTCTTGGGCAGGCGGGCCTGTGTCTGCAGGTACAACTACCAGTCCACACCAGGGACTGCGCCATACCCCTAAGCAGTGGGTGGAAGCAGGTTCTGTGGATTTTGTTTTTATGTCACTTTCCCAAGTGATACGAAGGTTTTCTAGTTCGGGGTGGTTCCAGCCTATCCTCTGAGGCTAAGAGCCCCACGTTCCCCCTAGTGAAGATGCTCTTCCCTGGGGTGACTTGAAACCTTTGGAAGTGGGCAGGACCTGGGTCCAGGTGGTTGCAGTGAAGAGAAATACCATCATATGTTGGAGCTGGGAGGGACCAGGGAGCAGAGAGGTGTGGTTCGGGGCTGCACCTGGCTCCTCTGCTTGACCAGCAGCCTTGGGCAAGATCACCTGACTTTTCCCATTCCTCATCAGGAAAGCAGAAGTGAGGGGGCCCTCCCTCCTCCCGTGTTGCCAAGATGACTGCATGGACACGCAGTCCATGTCTGCCTGCCCCACAGTGCGTGTGCAGTCTGTCAGTTTCCTTCTTCCTTAAAAGTCTTCTCCTTTAACATCTCACACACAAGAAAACTGAGTCCAAAGAGGTGAAATCATATCATAGATGTCATGGAAGATCTAGAACTGTGTTATGCTGCCTTCACCATAGTATTCGAAAGTTGCGTGGGAACTAGGGCTCTGCGGGGTGGAGGCAGGGATAAATAAGGATACTAAG